GGTTGTACACAATGTCGCCGTGATATTTCAAAATATTTAATTTAATGTAATTCCCATATTCACAATGTCACCGTGATATTTTGAAATATTTAATTTAATGTAAGCCTTTTTTGTTCACATGGCTATAATTGAGATATGAACAGTTTTAGTAAAGATTCGAAGTCCACTGTCGTGAGAGATAGAGTATAAATCGAAGGATGGTTTGGAAAAACTAGATCCAAGGATAAACCGAAGCCATCAAAGAAGAAGGAAGTCTCGAGTAATGGGAAAGAAGGGTCAAAAGCGATTTCACCTGAGGAAGCTCCGTCTAATGCTACCAAGCAGAAGGTTGCAGCTACTAAGCAGTATATAGAAAAGCATTACAAGGAACATATGAGAAGTCTTTAGGAACATAGGGAGCGGTATGACTTTTACGTTCTTTTACACTACAACTGGCCTGAGTCTTTTCTTTGTAAATAATTGAGGGAGATGACGGTCACCATATGTTCCTCTTTTAGAATCTTTTTATTGGTTGCAGAAACAACCTAGGTACAATTGCCATTCAGTTATCTTTTGAAGCCTACATTATAGCAACCATCATCGTAGATGTTTTAATCCACTTGCTGATTCATAAGAATCTTTTGACTTGTTTGATGCCTCAGAAGACAAAAATATCAATATGGTTAAGTTCCTTAAATTCCTAAACCTAAGATGAAAGAGGCTTTCGCTACTTTTGGGTTCTAACCTGTTTTTTGGTTTTTGGGGGACCTAATATTTTGGTGTATAAATGTTTTATCTAGTATTGAAGCATCTTGTATCATAGCTATTTCCTTTGAATACATGCTAAAAGTATCATTCAACTTCACCAAGATCCTTAGCTACTAAATTCAACTTAGAAAACGGTTGAATCATTTAACGGTTACCATTATATGCGTTTTGGTGCAATAATACAACAGTCCTGGAAGATCAAGCATTCAGATCAATGAATGTCATCGTTATCATCCTACAAATACCAAATAAGCATATATACGAGACGACAAAAATGCACTTCTTAAGTTCTTAACAAGTATGTGTTAAGTAAATCACAAAGAAGAATTAATTTCTTACCCAAAACCTTAAGTACAATAAGGTTATTATAAATCCACTGTACCCTTCATATAATACAAGAAAAAGATTCTAATTTTTGTATTAATTCATGAACTGGCACGGTGACACTCAATCATACAATCAACGGCATATTATCTTAGATCATTTAATACCGAAAAGACTATGATTGTATTGATATATGAACTGACATCCAAATTATCTGCACAATAAGATTATTATAAATCTACCGCCATCCTTCATTTAATGCAAAAAATACTCTAGTTGTATTAGTTCATGAACTGACACCCAATTATTCGTACAATTAGGTCATTATGAATCCACAGAAATGAATATATGCATACATAAATTCGATTGTACATTTCACCATAAATGCCCCGGATCTTCTGGAATAATAAATTAAGAAAATAGGATGATTCTTTGACACGTGGTCATATAATTACAACAGAAACAACAGAAAAGATTTCACGTAATTATTAATCAGGCATATGAATATTATAATAGGTTCACTACTGGGAGCTCAGATCTTTCCAAACAAAATTCATGGCCGTGGGGAAAAATCATCCCGAATTTTACTATCAATGGAGTTTAAATTTTTAATCTTTACTGCAACGAAAAATCACTTATCTTGGTTCCTAAAATCACCAAAATTGGGTAAAATTTTAAAATGGCAAAGACTAAGGCAGCTTTAAATTTTATAAAACACACTGCTTCTCTAATACATACAAAAAAGGAAAAAAAAGGTAACCAAATTAAAAACATAGTAACGTGATTATAAGGAAATGATCATTTCGTGAATTTGATCAAAACATAGTAACATGAGTATAAGTACACTGTTAAGGCCTCAACAACGACCAAAAATCCTTTTTGCTTATCTCAGGCTGCCCTCGAGCATCTTGCTGGTCATTAAGTTTCTCAATCCTGCTGCCTAGCAAGCCTTGTTGCTCCAACAAAAACACAACAATCTTCTAAATCTGCACCAGTCAAGGAAGAGAACAAAAAGGATAAATTAGAATACATACATTTTTTTTTTTAAAAAAAAAGCCTCCATTAATCTATGTCCCTATCTTTATAATACATTCCCAAAAGGGGGGGAGATAATTGAAAAGTAAAGCCAAAGGTAACATGAACGGAATTTTGTTGTATGGAAATCAAAATTTAAACATTTAGCATGACAGCAGATGAGGAAACATAGGGAAGAGTCCGTATCCAGTGCACCCGGGTGTACCGTATACCCCCCACCAAACACACGCGCAACACGCGCTCAACTGTTTTTACCTTTACATTAAATGCACACACAAAAATTGTTTTCATCCATTTCATCCTCACGCACAAACACACACAAACACATAGTCGACAGAAACTCTCCATTTTAGGGCAAATACAAAATTGACCACCACCACAAAATTACTGAAACTCGACGGAAAACCTACGCTGGAAGATGATTTTGATAACTTCATCTTCTCCTGCGTTTTTTCCTTTTGTCATTCTGTTCTTTCAGAAACACACACACACGCACACAGACGACGGTGAGAAACCCTAGCTCCGGCCATCTCAAGCTCTCCTTCATCTATAGATGCTTCACTGGTAGTATATTACTCCGAGATCCTATTTTTTTGATTATCCAACAATATTTTGTGTTTATCCACTAGATCTGAACTAGTTATCCATGGTTTCCTGCGTATGCTATGTGATGGTTGTCCATGCCATAATTGCTGGTTATCCACCTATTTCATACTAGTTATCCACATAGCATATTGGTTATCCGCCTATTTCATTCTGGTTATCCATACTTTTTTACATTTGATTCCATGTGGCATTTGATTCTGCGTATGCTATGTGATGGTTGTCCAAACTTTGTTTATGGTTATCCATCCATTTTATACTGGTTATCCGCAGGGTGTAAATTGGTTATCCATTGATTTTTTTACATGTACTTTTATGTGTCTACGTCCATACATTATTTGCTGGTTATCCACAAGTTGTAAACTGGTTATCCATGCTTTTTTTACATTTGATTCTATGTGGCATGGACAAACTGAACTTGTTATCCACTATATATCTGAACTGGTTATCCAAGTTTTCCTACGTGTGTGCCATGGGGTGCTTGTCCAAACTTTGTTTCTGGTTATCCATCCATTTTATTTTGGTTATCCGCAGGGAGCAAACTGGTTATCCATTGTTTTTTTAGATGTGCTTTGATGTGGCTACATGTCCATACATTATTTGCTGGTTATCCACCCATTTCATACTGGTTACTCCTTTTTGATTATTGCTCCTTTTCATATCCTGCTGCTCCTTTTCATATCCTGCTATTTTGTCTTTTGACTTCTTAGTGATTATCCAATGCCAATAGTGCTCTAAAGGAGGCTAGAACAAAATATAGGCATGAGTGGACAAAATAAGAGACGACCTCAACTACAACCCAGACAGATCACCACATCCTGAACCAGAGATACTAATGGAGCTCCCTGAAGTAACACTGACCATATTTAAAAATCAAAAATCAACCCAAAAAGAATAGTCCCCTGGTCAAAGTCCAAGTCCCCACAACTTGCTTAGAAAACCAAAGAGAAAGAAGAGCACACCAACAGGAAATCCAAAGCAACTTGTGGTTGCTGATGATAATGATGATAAAAAGCCCAAAAAGCAAAGAGCAAAACCTGGGAACAACAAACTGATGATTGGTCAAGATCCACAGCCAATCAGTTCTAAAGATTCTGTCTAGAAATTTGAGACCAGGATGACACCAAACCACCTCTTCCAACTCATCACTGAAATCAATAAACCAACAGATCTTAAGGAAGAGCCAGATGCGGTAGATTATCGCCAACTACAAAGGCAGGCTATCAGAGATATGGGATTTGGCGCCTTGCTGGATCTCAAAATCAAAAATATTCCAACAACCTTATGTAGTTTTTTGGCAAACAATTTCCAGACCGGTGCGAGACAAGTCCCATTGAATGGGAACAATGTACTGGATATCAAACAGGAAGATGTTGTTGCTGTACTTGATCTTCCTCGTGGACCCAGACCAGTGGAAGAATTCAAACAGAATGATCCCGCTATAACGGACCACGTTGAGATGGTGGATGCATTCAAGAAAAGAATGGGATACAGTAATAAATTTCTGCCACTGAGATCCACGGCGGCACAATTAATTGCTGGTCGAAAAGATTTTGGTGATGACTTCAAACGAGATTTCCTGGTCTTTGCTGTGAGCATATTCCTACATGGAAACACCACTTCCAGGATCACAATGAACATCTTGAAGTCCCTCGTGAACATGAATGAGGTGACACAATACAATTGGTGTCAATATGTGATTGATGCTCTGGTCAAAGGATGCAAAAGTCACCACAATGGGAAACCATTCACCGGACCAATCACTTTTTTTCTGGTACTTACCATATCTGTACAAATTTTACTAGTTATCCATATCGCTTGCAATGTTTATCCAATTTGCTTGTATTGATATCATTAACACCAACTTTTTTTCTTTTTTTTTGTTAGTTGTGCTACCTTGACAGATGTGAGTATGAGAGAGCACATCCGAGGTCATTACCTGTGATCAAATGTTGGGATCAAAAGATGCTGGATGACAGATTAAGACTTCAGGGAAGCAATTTCACAGATGTCCAGACACTTGAACGTCTCAAGAAACCGTCCTCAGCAGCATCCCGAGATGAAGACCCAGAGGGGGAATCACAGGAGGATACACAGGCCAACCTCAACACACAGCAAGTCTATGTAGTGTTCTACCATTTTTTTCCAGATCAAACTTACGTATCCAACCTAGCATCTCCACATTCCACTAACTACATTCACTTTTGCAGGACCTTGCTGCTCTTTATGAAAAATTCTACTAATTGATTATCACGATGAGTAAAACTGTTTTAGACATACGTGAGAAGGAAATGGAGTTAAAAATCAAACCAGATGAACAAGAAAAGCAAACAATCAAGATCCTAACAGATGCAATGGTGTCGATGAGTAGAAAGATGCCTCCGCCTTCAGGTAGAATGCAATAGCAACAAGAGCAGCAGCAAGACCAGCAAGACCTCCAGGATGCACAGATTTGTGAATTGTGCAAGATGGCATGTAAGTTCGCTGAAAGTAGATTTGCAACAATAATAGAACAACTGCAACAACAAGTAGCTGACCAACAACAACAACAACACCAACATACTGATGACAATACTGTACAAGCTCCAATTAATCCCACAAATTTTCAAGACATTGAAATTAACAAAGTACAGGGACTGGAGCAATTGAGCTAGACAAATGATGGGGCTTCTCTTCCAGTGGGGAAATCCGTGCCTACTTCAAAAGAAGTGGTGCTTGATGAACAACAAACTCAACCACAAGGTAATGAATATTTTTTTAATGAAACAAATACTTGTCTGATGTGATTGTACTTGTCATCCAACTAATTTGTACTGTTTATCCAACCCCTTTTTTTCCCTTTAAATGGTTATCCATTGTGTTCCTGCCGATTATCCAGCCTGTTTGAACTGACTATCCACTTCGTTTGAACTGGTTATCCAATGTGTCTAATTTGTACTGCTTATCCAACCCCTTTTTTCCCTTTAAATGGTTATCCATTGTGTTCCTGCCGATTATCCAGCCTGTTTGAACTGATTATCCACTTTGTTTGAACTAGTTATCTGATGTGTCTAATTTGTACTGCTTATCCAACCCCTTTTTTTCCTTTAAATGGTTATCCATTGTGTTCCTTCCGATTATCCGGCCTGTTTGAACTGATTATCCACTTCGTTTGAACTGGTTATCCAATGTGTCTAATTTATATGTATGTTTGTACTGATTATCCAACATTCCAACTTTGTACTGCAGCACATGCAACGAATATCTCCACAACAGAAAAGAAGAGATCCCATCAAGATTCCACCGGCAGGGATTCAGGTGTGACATCCGCTTATACGAGAAGGTCGAGAAGCACTGGTACCAGGAAAAGGAAAGTTTTCAAAGACCCAACTATCCCACACTTTAACCTGGGTATCTTCTCCAGTCAGGAAGACAGTTACGAGACAACCCAGGAGAAGAACACGGAGGAAGATATCACATGAAGTGTTGATTTGGATAAAGATGTCAATGAGACTAGAGAAGCAGAAGAATATCCAGTACCATCTGCACTCGACGGAACAAAGAATCCCACTCCTTCCATTGATGAAATCATAAGAAGGGCCAGTTCACCAGCTTCAAAATCATTAAGTGATACCAAAAAACTAGAGATGATTGCTGCTGCTGCAAAAGAAGTTGAGAAGAACTCAAACATGGTTAAAGTAGTCCCTTTAAGCATAATTCCACCCGATTGGAATATTGCTTCTACCACGGGTGGTCTAGTGATGCTGGACAAAAATGAGTGTACCACGCCACCGCCGGCAATCTCAAAGAAAGTTGACGAGCTTGATGAAGAGTCAACAAAGACAGTGGAAAAGTAAGTTAGATCCACTCTGACTCCCCACTACAAAATAAAAAGATGAATTTACATACTAACTCTCTTTTGTTTTGTCCTAGGATCCTCAATGAAAAACCTAAGAGAAGAAATCCACCAAGAGTCCACCGGTTGCCCGAACTGTTCAGGTCGCCGTTCATGCTGTAGAAGAAAAATAAGAAAAAATTCATATAGTGGACAGAGAAGAAGAAGAAAATGACCCAAGAAGAAGGCCTGTTGATAGACTTCGTGCTCCTAAAAAGACAAGAAGAAATAGTTAAATCAGGGTAAAAGTCACCATCCTTACCCCTGGGATAAAAAACTTACCAGTTTTCCAACTATTTGTCTATTTGACTATTTTTTCTATGCAGGAAACTCTTGTTTGAATTTGGGAAAATCGTTTGGGCAGACAGGACAGCTTTCTGTTCCATGAGGGAAGGGACATGGATAGAAAACAGCATCATAGATGCTTGGGCTGTCATCCTAAACAAAGAAGAAGCTAAGAGTGACTCCCTAAGATGGATATTCTTTGGTGTTTCATCATTTGTAAGTCAACTAAACCCTTATTGTTTATCCCGCTCTGGTAAAATACTTGTCACATCTCTGCAAGTTTTTATCCATATGTTCGTACTTATTATCCAATTTGTTACTAATGCTTGTCCACTAGAGTTGAACTGGTTATCCAAGCCTTCTATTAATAATGGTTATCCAGTCATTTTCTAATGACATTCAAACTTGTTTGCACTGGTTCTCCAAAATAGTTATCAGAACTTGCCCAATGTATTAGTACTGATTATCTAAACGGTTTGTAATGCTTATTGAATTTTTACTTTGTTTTTATTCTTTATGAAAAATGCTTGTCCATAGTGTCAACACTGGTTATCCAGCTATGTTTAACTGGTTATCCATAGTGGGAACACTGGTTATCCACTATGTCAATACTGGTTATCCACAGTGTAGAGCATGTTACTATGTATAACTGAAAAACCACACGTTTTGTAATTAAATAGAATTTAAAAGATTGAGGGAGTAAAAATAAAAAAAGAAAACTGAAAAGCTCATGTTTGTGCAGAGTACATCATGATCTAATGGGTAGTTACAGAGCCACACGTTTTTACATGGAATGGATTGAATAAGGATCATTACATAACTGTCATTAAATGAGTTTCTTGAATATCACGATGACAGTTAATGAATAGAGAGTGAGAAGACACTGATTTGTGAAAAAAGATAGGACTGCATGGGTAGTTAATCCGTCAAACTACCTCTGTATAAACTCCCTCATCTCCACATATAGCATTTTTATAAAACTCCCTGACATCTCCACATGCAGCATTTCTATAAAACTCCCTCATCTGCACATACACCAGAACGCCTGATTTGAGCATCCAAAACATCCAACAGCCAGAAAAAAATGAAAAACGAAAAAATTTTCTCAAATTCCACAACCAAACAAATGTTCCCCAGGCAAGCAAAGCAAGAAAAGAACAACTACCCTGAATATATCCATCACGATATGCTTGATAATATGTTCATTAATCTGACATTAGAAAAGATTGGTGAGTTCTGTCGTGTCAGCAAAGCTTGGTAGCAAATGACGAAAAGACAAGAATTTGTTCTTAAAAAACGTGAGATGAGCTACCCTGCAACTGAAAACAACATCCTTATTTTCACTCAAACAAGCCAAGAAGGTCACCTGTTGCAAGACAAACTAATCGTCACCAACATAAAAGTGCAAATGGATAACCCATGCAACCACATCCTTGTTTTCACTCAAACAAGCCCCTGCCCCTGAAAAATCCTGGGTAGCTACACTTGGATTAGTAAATGAGAATCCACCAGAATTTACGTTCAAAGATGGCGTGCTTTGATGGGAAGCATTCACAGCAGCAAAACTTCCTGAGCCTGAAAAATCTTGAGCAGCTCCCTTTGGATAAGGAAATGGCATGCTTTGATAATGCATGTCTAATGCAACTGAAGCTCTTGTTCGGTCAGCAGCAATTCTTGCATTTGTTTTCGTGCCTCTGACTTTGTTACATTCCTTCTCAACAATGCTTTTAGGACGTTCGTTCCTGGGACCAAACTTCTTCCTCTTTGCAGCCGGATTCCTTATAACACTATCATTGTCTACAGACTCATCATTATTATTTGAACCAATGAAACTGCCGAGTTCTTCTTTAAGCCTGTCAACCGCCTCGTCACAACATTTCTTTGCATCTTTGTTATATTCACTTGCATACACCAAGTCTGAAAATCGTCTCATAATTAGTGCCTTCCACAGCAATGGCCCATCAGCTTTTCCATCTCCCTCATTACCTATGCTTGACCTGGCACCATAACCTTTTGTCCATCTCATACATATATAATCTTTAGGAAACTCATCAACAGAGGTTACATGACAGATTCGAAGAATGTGACAACAAAGCATGCCCGCCTCAGAGTAGTACCTGCACATGTATGAGAATCTCTATAACCTAGTGTCATGTACAACCACATGCTTAAAGTGCTCTATCCCAAACCGCCAAACATTGTACGTCACAATATTCCCATCATTTGAAACCTCTAACTGCTCTTGCCTGCACAACATCCCATCTTTGTGCAACTGCTAAACCTCCCGAAATGCTTCAACTGTGTACACTCTGCGAATGCTCTCCAGGAAAGGGTCACCAAGAAGATATGAATCGATGTTTCCCTGGCTACAGCGTAGATCTTCACCACTCACAGCTACCCACCAACAGTGCACAACATCAGAGAAAATTTCATGGAAATCACAAAGCGATGATGTGGCCTTCATTTTAAGACAAATTGCATTATTTGTTGACTCGCTCCTTTGTGAAGACAAGGTACCACCAGAAAAACATCTTTGCTAAATGCAGGGCACCACATATGCCTCACATCATAAATACCATTCAGCCATTTGTCATCATGCAACCATACTCATCCAATAATATGTGCACAACAATATAAAACACATGCATAAAAAAGAAAAATAGTTAGGTTATCCATATAGATCCACAAAGAAACATATATATCCTAAGGCTTTCTAATGCTTATACAAAGGCTTTTTACTAGTTATCCAGCCATAACGAGTGGTTATCCAGAGATAATTGCTGGTTATCCACAATGTGTAAACTAGTTATCCAGCCATAATTGCTGGTTATCCAGAATGTGTAAACTAGTTATCCAGCCATAACAGGTGGTTATCCGCAATCTGTAAACTAGTTATCCATGCCTTTTTTAAGTTGTGCTTCTATGGGGCTGCTTGTCCATACATTATTTGATGGTTATCCATCATTGTTGTATAACTTACCTACCTATAAGTAATCATCAGGAAGATCATGCATGCTATCCCGACTGATATTATCCAAAACATGGAACTGTCTATCCATCAGTAACTCCTTTAAACCCCTGCAATAATTTTCTAATGCTTATACAAAGGCTTTCTACTAGTTATCCAGCCATAACGGGTGGTTATCCAGAAATAATTGCTGGTTATCCACAATGTGTAAACTAGTTATCCACCCATAACGGGTGGTTATCCAGAATGTGTAAACTAGTTATCCAACCATAATTGCTGGTTATCCAGAATAAGTAAACTAGTTATCCAGCCATAACAGGTGGTTATCCAAAATATGTAAACTAGTTATCCATCCTTTTTTTTAGTTGTGCTTTTATGCGGCTACTTGTCCATACATTATTTGCTGGTTATCCATCATTGTTGTATAACTTACCTACCTATAAGTAATCATCAGGAAGATCATGCATGACCAGTAACACATACTCACACAACAAAAAGAATAAGAGACACTCTTAATCATGGCAATGATCAAAATAATAATAAAAATATTGACAAACTGACCTCCTCCATAATACCTCGAACTCGATTTTTGTTGAATTGTATTTCATCAGATAATTAAAGTTCTTAACAAAATCTGGCTTGTTCCTTAAATAACTAATTTGCTTTCTTGAATTTTCACCTATGTGCCATGTACAGAGACGATGTCGAGAACTTGGAAAACATGTCCGAATACTTGCAGCAATGGAAGGTGCTTGATCTGTCATTATGGTTTGTGGCTGCTTATTTCACATTGATTTCAAAAACTGCTTAAACAACCAATCAAAAGAGGGTTCTTTCTCGTTTAACACAAAACCACAACCAAACATGACATTCTTGTTATGATTATCCATACCCACAAACGGAGCACAGATCATTCCATATCTGTTTGTTTGGTACGTTGTATCAAACACAAGCAAGTCACCAAACAAATAATAATCCTTTCGCATTCTACCATCCCTCCAGAAGAAAATACACATCCTACCCTGCTCATCACAGTCAAAATCAAAGAAGAAATCTTCTTCAGTTTTCTTCCTGTCCCAAAAAATCTTCATGAGCTGATTACAATCGCCACCTTCAAATCCAACACAAGGACGCTTATAATTATAGGCATCTCTCAAAGTATACTTCATGTTCGGACTTCCCCCGTGTAATTTTGCCACAAACTTATATGCATCAACCAAAGGTATGCCACTCCTTGTCATGTCTCTGATTATCTTTATATCATTTTCATCTACATCACGTTGATAGAAGAAGTCCAATCATTTCATTCGGCACAAGATCATGATTGTAATCAACCAAATGCTTTGTACAGGTCCACAAGCCATCTTTGTCAAAAGTAAAATGGATATAAGCTGGACACTCACACCAAAAATTAATCCTCTCATGGCACACATCACCATTTCCACCGGATCTCTCGTATCCTTCGCTGTTACAACAAAATTTCTTCATCCTAACTTTATCAGTCTTACCTCTAAACTTCTGTTTTCCCACTCTCATACTAAAACCAATCAATCGGGCATGATCATTATACAAATCATAAGCTTCTTTCTCACTTCTTGCAGTCTTGCCAATTAAAGTAAAAATAGCCAAATCATTATTCTTCGTCACAGATGAAATTTCCTTGTGCAAGGCATCCTACTCCACCATCACATTATCAACTCTCAATTCATTGCCGCTATTATTTTCTCCACATTCTAAGAAAAACAAAAGAGATGGTAACCATTACCATGCAGTCGGATAATCAGTATTAACACAATGGATAAACAAATCAAAAAAATTTAAACACATATAAACAAGTTAGAAAACCTACCCTTCAGAGCAGATGTAACTTTCATGCGCAAAGTATCATCCAGCATCACATCATCCCCAACTCATTGATATGGTTATCTTTTACAAAAAATTAGATAAACAGAAAAACAAAAAAAAAATTTAAAAAAATCTTTGATACACCAAATCAATATAAAATAAAATTTGGATACGCAAGTAAATCCATTGGATAACCAGTACACATAAGCTAGATATCCAGTACAAACAACTTGGATATCCAGTACAAATATGTTGGATATCCAACACAACATAACTGTTTATCCACTTCATACAACATTAACAAAAACAAAACTGTGAAAAAACTAGATTGATTATTCTCTCACAAACAGTACACTCTGAACTGTGAAAAAACACCAATTCAATATAAACAACTAAAAAATATTGGATATCCAGTACAAATCAGTTGGATATCCAGCAAATAAAATTTGGATACACATGTAAATCCGTTAGATAACCATTACACATAAGCTGGATATCCAGCACAAACAAGTTGGATATCCAGTACAAACATTTTGGATATCCAACACAGCATAACTGCTTACCCACTTCATACAACATT